CTGCTATTTGCAAGCGGTAGATCAAACTAAAATATTTGAATAATTTGCGATATTTACCTTTGTCAAAAGATCACCTAACGTATAAATACACCAATGTCAAAAAAGAAAGGAGAAGTTTCATTACAAATAGAAGTAAATTCCCAGGAAGAATGGGAAGGAATTTTACAAAAAGAAGGACTCTTAAGTTTGAAAATTTAAATAAGATCTTACTTGTTTATTTAGTTACCGATCTTTATCAAGAATGGTGCGGTCCTTGTAAAGCTGTAACAGGATTGTTTAAAAGATTAAAAAATGAATTAAATGATGAACTATTAAACTTTGCAATAGCTAAGGTAGATAGTATCGAATCTCTTGGAAAATATCAGGGTAGAAGTGAACCATGCTTTCTATTTTTTGGGGTAATGTTATTTTAAATAATTTTTAAGGGTGGAACTCTTGTATGTGTTGTCCGTGGTGCTAATCCTCCTGAATTAGAGCGATGTATACGGGAAAAGCTAACTCAGGAACATGAGATATTAAGTGGGGAGCTTGAAAGAATAGAGGTTTTTATTACAAATTTATATTTTTAGATTAAAGATCCCTATTTAGTTGCTCTTGAAGAAGCGGAAGCTGAAGAGATAAGGCGAAAAGAAGAAGAAGAAGGTGACGAGACTTATTTCAATTTTGATATTTTCCTAACAGAAGTGACCCAAGAAATCACTTTTGTCATTTTGAAGCCGGACGTTATTTTATCTGAAAAGCAAGAAGAATTAATATTTGAGGTGTTAACTCATTACTTTTGTTAATTTTGCTTAAATAACATTAGTTGATAATCATATTTTTTAGTTATACTTTACAAAATAGCTTATAAGCTTGTAGATTGCTATTTTAGTTCACATTCGTAATTATAACTATTTCCCAAGGATATTAACCTCTCTATGATCGATATCAACTTGTGTTAAGCCATTATCCTGCCTTTAAAGGAGATCATCGGAGCAAGGAAAGATGTTGAAAATAATGACACAAATATAAAAT